CTAGTTGGTGCCTAATCCACTTCTGTATAGTTCCTTTCAAAGCTCAGGGTTCCAGGATTATCTTCTGTATCTCTGTCAATTGGTTTTTCTTTTCTTTGTTGAAGAGAGTCTGTGTTGCTTGTCTGCCTATTCCTCCATCTTACTGGAAGAAGAAAATATTTTTAAAATCATGAAATTTCAAATAATATTTTGGTGATCCACCATTAAAATATGTTAAAAGCAAACCATAATTGTTCTTAACTGAAGGTAAATTTCTAAAATAACAGACACAAGACAATATTATGTAAATATTTTGTAGAAATCATTTCAGTTCAGTGAAATATATTAAAGAATGCTCTCAATGATAAGTTTTTTAAAATATGAACTTTTAAAGAAAGAATAGTCTTTTAAAGAAAATAATCTACAGATATTCAAACTATTCATGATCTGTTGTGTAGATGAGATATGATGGCTGAAAACATTTAAAGAAACCACAGAATTTACTTCCAGTATTCCTGAAGCATTGTGGTCACAAGATGACAGTCATGAGGCCACAGTATTGTCCTGGAAACAATAGCTGAGTGGTTTTACACATGATTCAGAGATGTGAAATTTCCTAAAGACCAGAGATGCTCCTTAGGAAACAGTGGGTGGATTAATTTTTTTTTTTTAAAGGATACATTTTATTGAAATATAATTTATGTATACTGAAATACACAAAACTAAAGTGGCACGCATCAATGCTTTTTTTTTCCCCCTCATGTTCTTTCCCTCCCTTCCCACCCCTGGTAACCAACAAAGAAAGTTTCCTTCCATATATACACCTTTCCTTTTTACAATAATGAACTAATATTATATTTGTCCTTCTGTGATTGACTTATTTCACTCAACATAATGTCCTCAAGTTCAAGTGGATTAATTTTGACAATAAGCTTTATATGAGGTACATGCTCATAATATGGCCTAATAAGACTTTGAACTCTTGGCTAAAGCCCGAAATCAGACGCATAACAAAGTTCAATCCAAGTTTCCTCATTGCTACATAGAACATTTCTATACTACTTTTATTCAAAGAAATAAAATCAACTGATGAATTTCATGTGAAGTATAAAGGAAGAATCTGAACCCCTCTTGTGTTCGTTTGACAGTTCAAAGAAGTCTGTAAAGATCAGCCTCTCTACTTCTTAACTTCATCAGCTCGCCTGGATGGAACATGAGGTCGACAATGTATGTTTCAGGAGGAGGTAAGCACCCAATCACTCCCTTACGAGATTTGTCCATCAGCTTCACTTCATTCCAGGCTCTGCCATACTCCCCACGGATGAGAGAGCAGCCAATGCCAATTTTATCGGCCAGAGCCTGTGAGACAAAAGGAGAGATCAACCAAGAGTGTTGGGCAGGGCGTGGAGGAAGACTGTTAGTTGTAAAATCCACCTTGTTTGAAGGTGAACTATGTAACTTATGCAAAGAAATGCTTACATAGGAGGCTAAAAATGTGGAATATCGTGATAGTAGCCAATAAAATGTGATGACAAGTTCCCTTGCTCCTTTAAGGTTCTGTAGACTGAAAATCTCTGTATAGGTCCTGCTGGGAAGTGACTTTTTTCAGGCAGTTACATTGTATTGCATCAGCACAAGATTGATAATGTAGTTGGGGAAAAGCTATTCCATGGGCTTTCAGCACCAGTGCATTTATCAAGCTTTCTATACCTCTAGGCTGCTCTCTGAGTGTGAGATGCAATGGGATTGGATAAGGGGGACCTATTTCTAGCCGATTTATTCTATGTGAGATAGACTGTGCCATGGATCAGGAGAAGCAAGATTCTGAGTGACTGCTCCTTCTTAGGTTGCCTGCGGCCACCTCATCAAGGCTTGCTTATATTCTTTAGAAGTTGTCTCTTCAATTTGCCTTCTAGTTAATCCTGATTTTGAGATTATAAAAGAAGTATATATATATATATATATATATATAGGTTTAAAATAATCTGGAAACTCCTTAGCCACATCATAGCAGTTAAGAGAGCTGGCTCAGATGTCAGACTGCCTGCCTGAGTCAGAATTTTGGCTCAGCCACTTAGTTGTGTCAGCTGAAGCAAATTACTCAGCCTCTTTGTCTTTCCATTATTCATCTGTGAAATGATGATAATAACTGTGCCTACCTCATAGGGTCTGATAAAGATGAAATGAATTAATATATGTAAAGTGCTTAGAGCAGTATCTGCTGGCACAAAGTACTGAATACAAAAATGTTAAGAACTGTTGTCTTAATAATCTGTATATTTAAATATTAGCTTAAAATATTGTTTACTACGACTGTACCATATAGTCTTGGGTGGACCAAGATGTCTAAGACATGATTGTCATTTTTAGAGTATTTATGCAGTGGTTAAGTATGCAGTGCTAATTAAAAGGTCAGAAGTTCAAATCCACTAGCTACTCTGCAGGAGAAAGATGTGAAAGGCTGCTTCCACAAAGATTACAGTCTTGGAAGCCTCATTGGTGCAGTTTTGTCTTGTACTTTAAGGTTGCTCTGAATCAAAATGGATGGTATGGCAATTGGTTTTGTTTTGTTTTGGGGTTTTTGAAAACAACAACAACAACAAAACAGATGCCTTTGAGCTGATTTTGAGTCATAGTGACCCCATGTGTGTCAGTATATAACTGTGCTCTGTAGGGTTTGCAATGGCTAATATTTCAGAAGTAAATTGTCAGGTCTTTTTTTCAAGCCAGCTCTGGGTGAACTTGAACTTCCAACTTTACAGTTAGCAGCCAAGCATGTTAACTATTTGTACCACCCAGGAACCTTACACCCTATCTAATCTGAGACTACTTGGTAAATAGACATAGCACAAACACAGAATCTGAAAACCTGGCACTGATAGTCTAGGGATAGAGAGACAAAAATAATAGATAATAATAATATTTTTCCAATATAAAATTTACTGATTTCTTGCTTCATATCAAGGCACTTTATACCATCAAAAGAACCCTGTGAAATAGATATGATTGTATTCCTCATTTTATACCTCATGGCACAGTGGTTAAAGCATTCAGCTGCTAACCAAAAGATTGATGGTTTGAAACTACTAGTTGCTGCATGGAAGAAAGATGAGGCAGTCTGCTCCCATAAAGATTTATAGCCTTGGAAACCCAATGGGGCAGTTCTACTCTGTCCTGTCGGGATACTGTGAGTTGGAATTGACTCGATGGCAGTGGGTTTGGATTTTCTTAGCTGAGGTTAGATAATTTTGACAAGGTAACACACAGTAAATGTGTGGAATTAAATTTAGATCCAGGGAATGTTCCCCTAGAACCTGAGCTCTTAATGTTGGGGTTTGTTGTTGTTGTTGTTATTTGCTGTGAAGTCGGCCCCGACTCATAGCGACCCCTCCTTGGGTTTCCGAGGCAGTATCACTACGCAAGTAGGATTGCCCAACCTTCCTTCCGAGGAGTGGCTGGTGGGTTTGAACCGCCAGCCTTCTGGTTAGCAGTCAAGTGC